GCGCTAGGAGATGCCCTTCAGGTCAGCCCCGGAGGCCAAATATCCCGGGTCCCTCGGCGTCTCCCCCCCCTTCCCTCCCGCTCTCTTCAGAGGTGCTGCCCACAGAAGGTGGAGCTAGCGGGGGGTTCGTCTGCATACAGCACCGTCCCTGCAGGTTTCTTGCACTGGGCAGTGCCCTTCCCTGGCTCGACTTCTCGCTGGTCCTGCTTTCTCCCTGCTTCGTGGAGATTCCCATAGGAAAGGGCAGGGCCTTGGGAAAATTAGACCTGGCTTCAACCCGGCGGGTGGCAGCCAGTCTCACTCAGGGCTTCACATTTTACCTCTTGTAATACAATCTAAGCACCAGTTTAGTGGGCCTTGGGCCACATACCGCCCTCAGTAGTTCTGAGAAGCAGACCTGGAGATTTCCTTTTGACCAAGAGATGGATATGCTTTGTTAATACAAGACCATTCTCTTTTCGAATGGGGCCGTGGCTCAGTGGTAGGGCATCTGCTTGACATGGAGAAGGTCCCGGGTTCAATCCCTGGCATCGCCAGTTAAAGGACCGAGTAGTAGGTGATGTGAAAGACCTCTGCATGAGACCCTGCCGGTCTCAGGAGATGATACCAGCTTTGATGGACCAGTGGTCTGATGCAGTATAAGGCAGCCACATGTGTTCCTATGGAACATTCCCTTATGCCCGTGTGCCTGCAAGGTCATTGAAGAGCAATGTGACGCAGTGACGGATTGTGAATATATCTTGCCCATTGTCTCTGTGTTCTGCTCCCCCCCCCCCTTCTGATTCCTGCTGCATTCCAGCTTGGTGGCATTCAGGTACAAGAATGGAGTTTTTTGTGTCAACAATACATCCAGACCCATGTCAACATGGCTCTCTTGCACTTTCATTGGCAAATTGGAATGAGGAAGTGATATGTCATCCGGAAAGATCTGCAAAAGGTCATGGGCAAGAATTAGGGCTCAGAGATTTAGCAACAACATAGGATCAGAGAGGAGGTGGAGGGAATAAGCAAAAATGGGGGACTAAGGAGAAACCAGAATGTAGGGAAGATCAGGGATTGGATGCAGAAGGGAGCCGGCCAGTAGGCATCTGCTCCTGTTTGACCTTGGAGATTATGTGCATGATTTTAGTGCTGCAGCAACACAAAGAGAGCACAGTGATCAGACTAAGGGCAGTGAGAAGAAGCTGCTCATAGCTCTGAATATTTTATTGTGTGTGTGTGTGTGTGTACTAACTCATGTCGTTCACCTGAACTGAGCACTTACTGCACAGAAAAAGCCATTTTGTACAGAAATGGACAAGTCTGTTATGGAAGAGTTCTTTCTCCCCCATGCAATTCTGAGCAGGGGTGGTGTTAGCCAGTGGACAACAGGGGCAGTTGCCTTGGGCCCCACACTTGGGAGGCACAACCTCCCATGGCCCCACCCCCAAAGGAGGAGAGAAAAGAAGAAGAGCAGGCTCCTGTTGCCTCTTGGACCTGCCCTATCTCTGGCACCAGTGCTGGCTCCTGCCCATCTTGCAACAGGGTGAGGGCCACCTCTTGCTTGATGGGGGGCAGTGGTGGGGTGGCAGTAATTGTGTGGGCTCACCCTGGATTTTTGCCCAGGGCCCCTGAATCACTAAGACTGCCCTTGATTCTGTTTGGTGTAGTGGTTAAGAGTGTGGACCCTAATCTGGGAGAACTGGGTTTGATTCCTCACTACTCCACATGCAGCTGCTGGTGTGACCTTGGGTCAGTAACAAGTTCTCTCAGAGCTGTTCTCTCAAGAGCAGTCCTTGAAGGAGCTCTCTCAGCCCCACCTACCTCACAGGGCATCTGTTGTGGGGAGAGAAAGGGAAGGAGATTGTAAATTACTCTGAGACTCCCAAGTGAAAGACGAGGTATAAATCCAATCTCTTCTCTACTCATCTAGGGCCACCTTGATTCGCCTTTTTATGAACAAGACATATATCCCATCTGTGGCCACTTTTGCCAACTACCAGTACAGTACAACTTGGTTCTGTTATACTATCTTTATAATAGTCCTCTAGATGTATCTGAACCTCTTTCAGATCCACTTCTCTAGCCTGGCCAGGAGAAAGATGGAAAAGTAATATGTGGTTGGGATTATATCTGATGGCAGCAGGTCTGCATCTGTAAACACAGTTCTACACCATTCACATGTAAAGTTAAGAGTTTTGGGTTTTTTTAAGGTCAAAAGGATATTGGGATGGGACTGCTGGAAAATTTGACGTTTTGTGTGGGGTGCAGCCCTACCTCATTTCCCATTTTTCTAGGAATGGCAGTAAGGAAGTGCATCTTGGAATGCCCACTGTGACATCAAAACCAGTAGACCAATGACCACCTTCTGTCCTCCCCTCTATTAGCATGTTTGAACATTATAGGCTCACAGAGTTCAGATATCCCCATCATTTCTCAGGCGTCTTGGATATGGATCTGCACAAATGGATTTTGCTCTTCATACATGGTCTTAATATAGTCAAAAACCCCGATTCCCTGAATGCAGACTTACCCCAGGATATATTCCAGAAGTCATGGAGACGCATGATCCAAAAGAAGTAGTCCTGCTTGGTAAATTTCATTGATCCACATTTGCTTCAGGGTCAGGAAAGGTGGTAGCCATGCATACCAGCACAATAACATCTGTGTCTGTTTATCAGACACATACATTTTAAATGCAGCCTGGGGTTGAGATTTTCTATCTCTTCAGGTGTCAGTTTTTGAAAGCTGTGCCCCCAATCTCTGGCCTCTGTTGAGCACTGAAATACTAATTCTGTGTGCATGGGAGAGAGATTCCTCAGGTACCTCGTAGGCAGAGCAAATGGAACGAAGGAATATTTCTTGTCTGCTATCAGTGCCCATCTCCACATGGTCCAGGAGATGGGTGGCACAGCAAAATGGGTAATCCAATTACGTTAGATGCATCTCATCTTTCTAATTCAGTCAGCACAGTGGGCTTGCCCATACACTGGGTAAATTAGGGACTAGCAAATGTAGAGAAGTGGGGGCGGGTTAATTCATCCTGTGTGTGTGCTCAGAAGGAGGGACTAGACACTTGTCTTATGCAAAATGGCTTGCCCTGGATTTAAATCCCACCGTAGTCATCAGTTTGCTGAGCAGCATGACTTGAACCTGCAACAAGTCCAATTCGGGGCATGGGCAAAATGGGAGGCAACAATGCAACAAGTCCAGAACTTGGCGGCGAGAGTGGACACCTAATTCCACAGCTCCTATCCCTCCCTGCCTACACCAATTGCTACAACTGTCTCCCTACCTTTTTTTGTTGTTCGGGGCATGGGCAAAATGGGAGGCAACAAAAATCGCAATAATAAACCTGCGTCTGGAAGCGTGCAAGCCTTTTTTCAGCAAAAAGAAGCTCGTGTAAATTGGCTGGCTAAGAGCATGATTCTAGAAGAAGGCATGATGCCAATTCTTACTAAAGCTTATAGTCAGGGTACAGCAAATAATCCCAGAAGAAAACACCCTAGAGACATAATAGTTACTTTTGGAGACTACAGAATATGAGGAACAAACACTTAATTTTTCCAGACATTGCGTCTGAAGCGATCCAAAGGCGAAAAGAAATGAAACCAGTGTCAAGTGTACTCCAAAAAGCAAATATTAACTATAAATGGATAATGCTTGCAAAAATCCTGGTCTTTTATCAAGGTAAAGCCTGAACTGCAGATGATGAAAAAACCGGAAATAAAATTCTTCAGGAATTGGGTCTCGAACCTATGCAAGAGGGCTGAAGGCACCGGTGAGTTGATCCCTTTCATGGCTAATTGGCTGGCTAAGAGCATGATTCTAGAAGAAGGCATAATGCCAATTCTTACTAAAGCTTATAGTCAAGGTACAGCAAATAATCCAAGAAGAAAACACCCTAGAGACATAATCTTTACTTTTGGAGACTACAGAATATGGAAAACTATTTTGGACACTGCAAGAAAATCTGGTGCTTTTGCATATGAGAAACAAACACTTAATTTTTCCAGACATTGCGTCTGAAGCGATCCAAAGGCGAAAAGAAATGAAACCAGTGTCAAGTGTACTCCAAAAA